CTCGGGTCCCGCCCCCCCGCCGAATCCCGAGGGGGCGGGAGAGACCGCAACTCGGCTCCGTAGGGGGCTCCACGCTTCGCGGCAGGGCGCACAGTGGTCTGCATGGGGGAGGGCGCGCAGTGGTCTGATTGGGGGAGGAGTGAGGGGACGCGGAGAGACCCCATCACCGTGAATGGAGAGCCCGAGCAGCTCCCCAAACAGCCGGGTCATTACTGTGGGGGAGAGCCCCACCCCATACCCGGGATCCTGGTCCTGGGGAGAGCGAAGCCCCCCTCCCAGCACAGCGCCCCCTGCGGGAACGCCCCTAAGCTCCGCCAGACACCCTGGGACCACCCCTCAGTCCCAGCAGGACAGCCCGGGCACCCTGTCTGCTGACTGGCACCCAGCTCTTCCCCCTGGGTGCCCATACTTTGCTAAAAGGGGGCACATCAGCCAGGGCTGTTGGGCTGTGGGCCCCAGGAGTCCATTCCCCCCCGGAGCTGTGGGTGCCCCCCACTTCCCATACGCACTGCTGGCTTAGGACGGGTCCCCACCAATGTTCTCCTGCTGACTCCCGCGCTCAGGACCCAGCTGCTTTGAGCAGGAGCAGATAGCGGTCAAGCCCTCGGGGACCAGGGGGGCCTGGAGCGGACACCCGCCCAGGCTCCCAGAGGTGGCAGGTGGGCAGGGCAGTAAGTAGCAAGAGGCTGTGGCGGGTGGCCCAGGAATGGGGCAGGAATGGGCCCTCCGCTACTTGCTCCAGGAATACCTCCTGAGCTCGGGCCAGGCCCAGTGGGTCCCTCCCTGGCTCACAGACACCGGGCACACGGGCACCTCCAGACTTCTAACGAGGGATGAGGCTGGAACCCCTCCTCCCCGGCCATGGAAGTCAGCAGTGGCGCACAGAGGCAGCCCCTGCCGGCAGGTGGCGCCACCGGCCTCCAGCCCGTCCCTGGGAGGCGCCACCCTCGCCCCACCCGCCCCGCTGAATGTCAGATTGACCGAGGTGGGTGGGGGGGCTGGGGTGAGCAGGATCCAGGACAGATGGCAATAACAGTGATGCTGGCCTCCGTCTAGCCCACATCTCAGTTCTATGAACCTTTTGTGCAGACAGCTCCAGGGGAGAGCCATTTGCCTCCGCATGGATGACAAAGACCCCTGGCGCTCGAGGACTTGGGTCAAGGCCAGCGGGTGGCCGGGAGGCAGCAGGGTCCCCGCCTGGGTGCCGAGCGCTGCCCTGGTTTGCTGGAGGGCGAGGGGGGTGCCGGCAGGGAGACAAGGCTTGGGGCGGGGTCTCGGGAACAGACTCCCGGCTGTGATGGGGAGACAGGGTTGTTCTCAAGGTCACGGTCTGACTCCCATTACTCCTATTTCTGGCGGCTGGGGTGGGAGGACAGCAAGGGGCGGGGGCCTGACCAGGACGCACAAACTGGTTTCTGAAGCCCACGGTGGTTCCGAGGGCACATTTTCCCTGGGAGACAGCTGAGAGCGGGAGAGCAGAGTTTTCTGTGACTCATCATGGAGTGATGGTGACGCCCTGTCATGCCCTGTGCCCTTGTATGTAGGCCGTGTTGGGGAGTGGTGCCCCGGCCTCGGAGAACTGCTGGTTTCTGTGGGGGGAGGGCAGGGGGTGTCCTGCCATCGCTCTGAGCACTCCCTCTTCTTCTGAGACACAAGTGCCCCGGGCACGGTGCATCTGGGCCAGCACCACCCTCTCCTGTGGCCCAGGTTAGACAGGTGCCTCTTGCTGCCGGCGAGAGCCTGAGGACCCTCTGCTCTTGGCTCACTTTGTCAAGGAACCTCTAGGACTGAAGAGGCAGAGATTCTCAGCTGAAAACTTGGGCCCAGAACGCCCGGCCCCGGAGCCAGCGTTCAGGTCTCACGTGGGGAGGCTGCCTGGCCACCTGGTCAAGTGGTGCACGCAAGTGGGGTCAGCATTGTGTCCGAAAAGCCCAGCCCTTCCTGGAAGCAGGACCCTCCTGAGTGCAGGGCCCGGGGCGGCCGGGGAGCCGGTGAGGTGCTGGCATGGACCGAGGGGCGTTGGCACGCAGACTAGAGAACAAGAACGTGCCCTCTGGCCACTACCCCGCGTGTCTCATGGAAAATCATCAGCCATCTTCTCGGGTATCATGAATCCATTTAGCAAAAACCAAGCCGCCCCAAGTTCCTAGTCTCTCACCAGGACCCCACGTGGGACACAGTGCTGCTTCTCCTGGGTCTGGGTGGGGAGGGGTCACCTGGCCGGGAAGAGTTAGGCGGGTGCAGGAGGACCCAGACCAAGCCAGGCAGGAGCGGAGGCGCAGTCATTTCCGCCACCGATGCGTCAGACCAGGAGGGCAGCGCACGTCACGTTGGGGCAGCGTCTGCGTCCGCACAGGCTGAGCTGGCACCGCGGCCACACTCTAATGGGTCCGTGTGCTCAGCGACTACCCAGTGAGTGTCGCTGTCAACCTGTCATCCTGCAGACAGGCCAGCGTGTGGCGGACAAAATGGGGCACCATTACAGTAATGGAGCTACGCAGAAAGCATAATTTCATCCTTGTGTCGTGAGCTGGCCCATCTTCCCTTAGAAGTCCTGTTCACCACCATCAAGAAACCAGCCGGGTCTGCCGAGCAGGAAGAGCAAGGGTGCGGGGAAACCCGGCTGTGCCCGCACCGAGCTCAGCCATGGGCTGGGGAGGCTGCCTCCTGCTCGCCCCACAATGGGGATCAAGCCTGCAACCCGGGCATGCGCCCTGACCGGGAATCGAACCATGTGTGACCTCTGGGTTCATAGGTCAATGCTCAACCACTGAGCCATGCCAGCGGGGCTAACGTTGGCTTTTATTTGACCTTGCTGACAGGTGTGTGTCCTTGAACCTCCCCTTCCATGACTTCTAGCTGCTAACCCCACCCCTACCCAACCCCACTCCAGTAACACAGTCCGCGCGGAAATGTCCTGGCGTTGCTTGAACTCTTGGCGTGGGTTTGAGCATTCATTCCTCGGGGTGCGGGAGGCGCGTGAAGACTTGCTTGCTTTGTCCACAGAAGCAGCTGGGGCTGTTACTGGGGGTGCCGGCTGAGGTGGAGGGGGAGGCAGGCGAACAGGAGGGGTTAGTGGTTTGGTGAGGGATCCCCTCCTCCTGTTAGGCAGTCTTTGGGGAGACCCCTCCGCCCACTTCTTTGACCATCTTTCTGGTCAGAGACACGTCCAGCTGCAAATGGGGCCTTTTTAATGGACGGGCCTGGCAGCACCCACTAACATCAGGGTCTGGGTCCAGAAGAAGTTCGTTTGGAGGCCGGTGCAGGCCCTCCGCAGGCTGCCTCCGGCGGGGCCCCAAGGCCCTTTCATGGTTGCAGTTTGTAAACTTTGAGATAAGCCGTGAGCACAGTCTGTCCAGGCCCGGAGCTTCCCCATCTCTTCCTCGTGCCGCGGCCGGGCTCGCACCACGGTGGGGAGGCTGCCGGCACATCACGTTCTCCTGGGAGGAGCCGAGTTGAGGATGCGTGGCCTCTGTGCTTTGTGGGCTGGTTCAGGGCCAAGTGCTGCTGCCCCCCCCGCCCTGCCCACAGTGCCCACCTCAGGACAGGTGGCCGAACGTGCCCTGCAGAGTTGCTGGCTCGGCCCTGAATGCTGTCACCTCACAGTGAGGTGGGTGAACCAAGTCCAGGTCCCCGGAAGGAGAGTCGCTGGCTGTCCTGGGGCCATCAGGTCTCTCCCTGAGCCCACAGCCCCACACCAACTGCCCGTGCATACACTCTGCAAACAACTCTCCCAGGAGGTTCTCGGTGAGTGGGGTGGGGGGACTTGGCTCTGGATGGTCCTCTAACGTGTCCTGGGCTCTGGCTGAGCCCTCCTTCCTCCCCATGTGGAGCCCCTTCCTCCCCCTGCTGCTCCTTCCCTCGCGGGCCCTGGACTCCACCAGGAAGTCCCGACTTCCCAGCCTGCCCTCCCACCGGCCTCTAGCCCTGCCCCTCCCACCTCCATGCCAACACCCCCCCCCACCTCCCGCCAAGTGGTGAGTCCATTCAAACCAGCTTCCCAGGGGGCATTGCTGCTGGTCACAGGCTCTGCTGGGAGTGGGGAATCCACCTGTGCCGGGTGACTCACCAGGTGGGGTTTTCCTGGTGGCTGGGGCTGGAGGAGGCAGAGCGATGCCCTGCGGCTGGGGTGCTGGGAGCTGTGGCTCAGCTGCAGGCCCTGGGCAGTTGCACCTGTTTCCTGGCCCTGAG